TTTTGCAATTTTAAAAAGTAAGGAGTAGAAAGTACAAATAATTGAATTAAAATGTAAGAAGTAGAAGTAAAAAGTAGTTTGAAAAATAATTACTCCACTAAAGTATAAATAACCAAAATTACTACTTAAGTAAAGTAACAAAGTACTTAGTTACTTGACACCTCTGTAAAAAACAGATGGATCTGATAATAAAGAAGAGGCGGGGCCAAGTGTTGAACTTCTGGATAAACCTGCCAGCACTCCAAAGAAACCTTGTGCTGTGACGAGTGTGGGAAGAGTTTCAGATGGACCTGCCTTTTGAAACATCATCAATTTACCCACACAGGAGAAAGACCTCAGTGCTGTGATAAGTGCGGGAAAAGTTTTCGTCTATTATGTAACATGAAACAACATCAATTAACCTACTCAGGAGAAAAACCTCACAGCTGTGATGAGTACGGGAAGAATTTCAGCCAATTAGGTAACCTGAAAAAACATCAACTTACCCACTCANACTCAGGAGAAAAACCTCACAGCTGTGATGAGTACGGGAAGAATTTCAGCCAATTAGGTAACCTGAAAAAACATCAACTTACCCACTCAGGAGAAAAACCTCACAGCTGTGATGAGTGTGGGAAGAGTTCTTCCATGGTGTAGTGTCGGAACAGTCGGTGTAGGTACGGGTTGGTATGGGTCGGACCGGTTGGTTTTCCACTGATGTTCCAGTCCGGTTCCAATGGGTGTGTTTTGGGTGGTTGGTGGAGGTGGTTTTTAGGTATTTTGAAAAAAAGTTAATGGGCAAAGTGAGAAACGAAACACATTTGATGAATAACTTTTGAAATTTTAAACATTTGCRAAAATTTAGCCTATCAGTGACGAACAGTGTTCTGACGTCGCATTTTGGTGTCAGCTGGGGCTGGTTGGAACCACAATGAAGTAGGTACTAAAAAAAAGTGCCAGTTCCATGAATCTGGCCTAATGGCTTGGAACCGTACCGAACCGTACCGACACTACACTAAGTGGCACTAGTGGAAAAGGGGCATTAGATTGGCCTGCCTTTTGAAACATCATCAACTTAYCCACACAGGAGAAAGACCTCACTGCTGTGATGAGTACGGGAAGAGTTTCCGTCTATTATGTAACCTGAAACAACATCAACTACCCCACTCAGGAGAAAAACCTCACAGCTGTGATGAGTGTGGGACGAGTTTCAGTCAATTAGGTAACCTGAAACAACATCAACTTACCCACACAGGAGAAAAACCTCACAGCTGTGACGAGTGTGGGATGAGTCTCAATCTGTTATTTAATCACAATCGTATCCACTCTGGAGAGAAGCCTTACAAATATCATGTTTGCCAAAAAAACTTCAGAACACAAGACAATATTTCCCATCATACCCTGGGCCTGTGATCAGCAGCACTTCACAGCAGCAAAAATAAACAGTTGCTAAATGTTTAAAGGGTACTAAAAATATTCAAGTGAAATTTAATTAAAACTCTTTCAATACCAATCGATTGCACCTCAAAGTGTGAGGCTTTTTTGTTTWGTTTTGTTTTGTTTTTTATTCAACGCAGTCAAGTCATATTTAAAACATTTTTAAAACATTGTTGGTGTTTAAAGGTGCAGTGCAGCTTTATACGGAATTCCAACGTAAACAAACCCAGAGTGTTGCTGTGACTCATTCATGCATGTTTGAGAACCCCTTGAATATCCTGTGGTAGCCATTCAGAGTTGCCTAAATGCTWGCTGGTACAAAGCACTGCCTATTTACACAAAGCTCCTCCCTGAGCTCAGTCTCAAGCATCCCCCCCCAAGCTCCATCAGCCTAGCAAAACATATCTTGGTGGAGGTTCATGATTTGATTGCAAAAAGTCGCTTAACATTGACAAATGAGAGGATGACCAAGCAGAAACGTTTTTTGTAGGAGCCTCTGTACTCTTCAGAAAACATACTTTCAGGGAGCATTGTGGGATCATTTGAGTAAGCACCAACTGCATCCTGAGTTGCCATTTTCCAAAACAGATATTATATAAAGAAGCTTTTTTTTTTCACAGCAAAATACAACGCTCCTCGCAAGGTTGTAAACGGCATWAAGCATTTTTGTGATGATGTGCTGAAATGGGAGTGTCKGAAACAGTAGGAGGTTCTTAAAGTGAAAGAGGCCAATTTCAAGATATTTAGTCAAATTTATTTTTGGTCTGTATAGCATTTTCATAACAACTGAATGTAACACATAGTAGTTACTGCTTTATGGTATAACTAWGTTCCTGGAAAATACATAATACCCACCTTTATGTGATAATGTGTTTAAAAATTTAAAAAGGGCTTCAAGTGTTAGTTTTTTTTTCCTGTTATCAGTAAACAGTTACAAGGGCAAAGATGAGTGAACATGAATGTCTGAGCAGTTGGTTCTGGAAGKTTCTGATGACAAACAGCAGCTCAGGTCAGAGGGAATCTTTAGATAGACAGCTAAAGTTCTGTGTTTGTAACATCAGCTTGGATGAAAATGTTCTAAAATGAAATATTAAATTAATTTGACATATTCAGACTTTTCATTTGTACTTGTCATGGAAGTAACATCCCAGGTATTGGTGAAATGATT